GATTAGATATAACAATGATTGGTCAATTTTATTTATCTTTCAAAGAACCAATTTTTTGTCTTGTTGATTCTTTCTGTTTTGCTGTTTCTATTTCATTTATTTCTGTTCTAACCTTTATTATTTCTTTTCTTCTGGTGACTGTAGCCTTCCTTTGCTCTTTTTCTAATTGTTAGAGATGTTGGGTTAAGGTATTGATTTTAGTTCTTTCTTCTTTTTGGACTTAAAATATCAAAGTATGAAAATATCAAAGACCAAACCTTCAGTATGGGTTGTATCTCACTGAAAGAAAACAAAAATCCTCACAACTGGACCAATAAATAACATCACGATGCATGGAGAAAAGATTGAAGCTGTCAACGATTTTATTTTGTTTGGGTGCACAGTTAAAACACTCATGGAAGTAGCAGTCAAGAAATCAAATGATGTATTCCATTAAACAAATCTTCTGCAAAAGATCTATTTAAAGTGTTCCGCAGCAAAGATACGAGTTTGAGAACTACGGCGTGTCTGACCCACCCCATGGCATTTTCAGTAACTTCATATGCATGTGAAAGTTGGCTGATGAATAAGGAAGATCGTAGAAGAATTATTGCATCTGAGTCATTATGTTCAAGAAGAATATTGAACGTACCATGGAATGCCAGAAGAACAAACATATCTGTGTTGGAAGAAGTTCAGACAGAATACTCCTTAATAACCAGGCGTGAGATTTCATCTCATACTAATCAGGAGGGACCATTTTCTGGAGAAGATCATGCTTGGTAAAATGGAAGATCAGCAAAACAACAAAGACGAGATGGATTGATATAGAACTAACAGCAATGAACTCAACTGTAGCAACAGTTGTGAGGATGGGTCAGGACCAACCAGTTTTCATTCTTTTGTGTATAGGGTCACTGTGAGTTGGAACCAATTCGATGGAACTCAATAATAACAACAACAAAATTGTCACTCGTTTTTTTATTATCATTAGCATGTTTTTTTTTTTATATCCTTTGATTTTTTGGGGGGGTCTATTTTTGTCTTTGTATGTAAGGTGTAGTTTTGCAGATACATACTGAAGAATCCTGTTTTCCTATCCATTCTGCTACTTTCTGTCTCTTGACTAGTGCATTTAATCCATGTTCAATCAGTGTAATTATCAATAGGTATGAATTGATTGCTGTCATTTACTGTGAGTTTTTTTGTGTGTATGTGGTGTGGTGCTGTGGGTTAATGCGCCAGACTGCAAAGCCATTTGAACTACAATGTCGTAGTTCAAGCTCACCAGCTGCTCCTCAGAAACCCTAAATAGGGTTGCTATGGGTCGGAACTGGCTTGACAGCACTTAACAATAACAATGTATGTGTGGTGCTGCTGGTTTCCTTGTTCAACAATTTTATGCATAGAGTTCACTTTTTTGTGGGTTATCTTTTTATTTTCATTTCTGTTGTGTTAATGTTTATAAATCTTTCTATTTTTCCTTTTATTTTGATGTGAAGGTGTATTCATTTTTTCAGAGGTTACCATGTAATTTTTTAATTCCACCCACCCATTTTAATACAGTCTGTTTTATCTTGAAATCTACTTGACTTTCTCACCATTTAGACATTCTGTTGCTACACTATTCCTCATTTTGCTTTGTAGTTAATTATAAATTGATATCTCTGGTTCTTTATTTTCAGTCTGATTGATAGATTTGTTTTACTTTAAATATTTCTATATCTGGATTGAATTTTGGGTGGTGTTGTCATGTATATTAATCTGAGGTTGCTGTCTGCTGTTGTTGGTCTCAGTTAAAAGAACACGCACACCCTTTTTTTTTGTAAAGTTGGTTTGGTTATTTCCTTTCATTTGGGTTTGTCTGGAAATGTCCTAATTTACCTGCCATATTTGAGGGGCAATTTTGCTGGATATATGATTCTTTTGGCAATTTATTTCTTTCATAGTTTTGTTTATGGCATCCCATTTTCTTCTTGTCTTCATGGTTTCTGTTAAGAAATCAGAGTTTAATCTTACTGATTCTCCTTTTTAGGTAACTTTTCCTTTTTCCCAAGATGTTCTCAAATCCTTTCTTTATCTTTGATTTTGGAAAGTTTGATTATGATATGTTTTGCTGATTTTCTTTTGGAGTCTATCCTGTTTGGGATTCGTTCAGCTTCTTGCATAGTTCACTTCTTGTCTTTCATGATGTGAGGGAAGTTTTATTCTAAGAACTCTTTGACTATTTTTCCCATGCTTTTTATTGTCTCTTCCTGTTCTTGAATTTCTATCACTCGTAAGTTATTCTTCTTCATGGTGTCCCATTTAATCTTAGGCTTTTTTCAGATTTTTCTTTTTTTTTTTTTCTAATTGTTTCTCTAGCATACTAGTATTGAGAGATTGATCTTCAAACTCACTATTTTTGGCTTTCATTGATTCAAATCTACACCTTTGTCCTCACTAATTTAGGTTTTCATGGATTCAAATGTATACCTTTGTCCTTTCAATGTATTGACTATTTCTGAAAGTCTTAGAATTAATCTGTATTTGTAACTGCAGGTTTTGTGTAGGCTCAAAATTTTAGTTTATTTTGTTCTTATAGTGTTTTCCTGAATCCTTCTAATGTACTTTCTGTGTTCTCCTGCTTTCCTCGATCTTTCTGTTAATCCATTGACGATACCTAAATATCATATTTTGAATTCTTTTTCAGGTAGTTTCATTATCTTTTTTTTCTCAGAAATGTTTTCTAACTTTGCATCTTGGTCATTTGTTTTATTCTCATTCTCTTGTTTCTTTGTGTGAATTAAAATTGCTTGTTGACTCTGGGACATTGTAGTGGTGTTGTATTTAACTGATAATTGTATGTTTGTATGTTCTTAGGTTTGCATCAACTGTCTCCTGAGAGTATACTTAGATAATGGAAATGTGTGCATTGTTCTCTGCGCAGCTCAGTTTAGGATGGGCTTGACTGCTGTTGGCTGCTGTTAATTGTTGGTCAGGTGGTATCAGAGTTGGTATTGGCTCTTGCCCAGTGGGTAGAGTTGCAGAGGGTCTGTTTATGACTGGGCTGTAGGGGCACAGTTGTTGACTCTCGTTAGGTGGGGTAAGTTGAGAAAACACAGACACACACACAATAAAACAACAAAACAAGCAAATAACAGTGAAAAGAGAAAATGATAAAGGAGAAAAGAAAACAAGCATCAATAAGAAAAATAAATAAAAAGAGAAAAGAGGGACAAGAAAATGGAGGTGTAGATGAGAAAAATAAGAGAGAAAAGAAAAGGAAGAAGTTTAAAAATACTGAAAAACAAACCCAGGGAGATGGAAGAGGAAAAGTGAGAGAGACCAGAGAATGGTAAAGAAAGATGAAAAGGAAAAAAGAGGCAGAAATGAGAAACAGAGTAGAAAAAAAAATGAAAGCAGAAATAGAGAGGAAGAAAATGAAGGGAACAGAGAAGTAGAAGAAAGAAAGAGAAAAAACACACAATGAAACAATGAAAGGAAACAAAACAAAAACTCAGTGCAGCTATTGAACCTGAAGAGGAAAAAACTCTGGGGTTCTCCTACAAGATACGGAGCTCATGAGTTGGGTGAGGAGGGGGATGTAATGACAGAATTCCTGGCCCTAGATGGAGTTCCTAGAGGCCTAGATGATGTCTGTGTTCAAGGCACTCAATCCAGAAGTAGTTCGTGGAGGCCCTTAATGTGGCTGGTTTCAGTGTCTGTTAGGATCAACCACAAGGTAGCTGGGGTGCGGCACGGAGGCTGGTTCTGAGCATTTCTGCTAGACTAATGCTAGCCTGGTGGTTCTGTGGGTTTTGTAGGTCTGGAGCTGAGCCCACTTGAATCCAGGCACCTCACACTGACATGACTCACAATCGTATGGCTTCAAACTCCAGGACAGTAGGGTCTATTCTGGGGGTGGACAAGGATGGGGACCAACCACACCTCTGGTCACCAGAGGAGCATAGGGAACAAGAAAGAATCACACCTGTCTCATTGCTTATGTGAATCTGTTCCACCAGGCCACATTCTGTGTCCAAAGCTGTTTATGTAGTGTCTGACCAGCCAGCCTTTCACCAGTCTCCTTTTTTCTCCTCCCATGCTCAGCTTCTCCTCCTAGTAAGTCTTTAATCCACTTCTCTAACCTTTCCTCTAAACCTCAGGGTCCCAGGATTATCTTCTGTGTCTGTTTCATTTGCTCTCCTGTATCCTTGTTGTAGGAGTCCTGGTGTGACACTGCAGGATAAGCACTGGACTACTAACTGCAAGGTTGTCCCTTCTAACCTACTAGCTACTCCTCAGAAACACTATTCAGGATTGCTATGAGTCAGAACATACTCAGTGGTACTTAACAACAATCTTCATTGTTAAGAGGGTCTGTTTAGCGCATCTGCCTGGTCTGCCACCTTGCCACCTCAATTTGGGATTGCTTAGATAAACTATGGTACTTTTAACTATGATAATTAAGATCATGGAATATTTTGCACCCATAAAAATCGAATGGGAAAATCATTGCTCAAGGCATATTGTAGAAAGTGTACCGTATGTCACTTTATGTGTAAAAATAGGTCATATATGTTGTTTTGTTAGGTGCCATCGAGTCGGTTTCGACTCATAACAACTCTTTGCACAACAGAACGAAGGTGAAAACTAGTACATAATAAATACACAATAAATGTGAATGTAAGCACTTGGAAATAATTGAAAGAAAAGAAATTGGGGGCAGTGGGATTTAACTTTTCACTCCGTGTCTTTCACTACTTGAATTCTAAAACATACGAAGTTTGTGGAAAACTTCCATTATCTTTTAATTTTTTCACGAACTTTTGCATGCCTATAGAAATCCCTTCGTACGTACGGAAACTCAGTCGCCGCCTAAGAAGAGCGCCGTGGCCAGCAAAGCCTTGTTTACTAATTAATCAAGCTTTTTTGGAAGCCGGCGTGATGACGTTGGCACGACGGGCCCTGGCGCATGCGCAGCAGGAACTGTCTGCCTTGAAGCTTCCGGTTCAGGATCTCGTTCTTGCTCGGACGGCGCGGTTCTGGCGTTTCGGGCACTTTTGGCGTTGGGTGGGCGGCACCTTGGGGAGCACATGAGCCACTGGCATCATGGTCGCAGCGACTGGGGACGAGGACGGAGACTCGTCTTTTCTGGACATTCCTCAAACAAGAGGAAGGGCAAAAACCACATCCCGGAAAGGTAAAAATGCCTGGAAGCTGGGCTTGGTCCTTCCGGCGCGCAACTTCTGGAGCTGGGCTTCCTCTCAGTGGTCGCGCCGCTTTGTAAGAAGCACTGAGCCCCTCGGCTGCTCAGTAGCTGAAAGGGACAATGTCTGTGATGTTCTTTGATTTCTCCCCATTCTTTTAAAAGCCCGACTGTAGCCACAGCCACTCGGTTAAAATACGAAAGGACTACAGTCCTTTTTTGCCAAAATGGGGTCCCCTCAATTTCTTAGATTTTGTATTTGGGCACAGAAAATGTAATAACTAAGGTTAAGTGAAAGAGCACCCCAATACTGCCCCCCAGGTTTTCTACCGAAAGTTAGTTTGTATTGTCGTCAGGAGTCACAGAGGGTGAGCTGTTGTTCTGTAACAGGCCTCCTCTGAGAGATCTTCCTCAGTGCATTCAAATGGTTAATTTGGAGACTTTGCTCATATGTGCAGTGTACTCTTTTCCACTCCTAGAGACGTACCTCTCCCCCGTCTCATATCTCACTTAGTTAACCCTTTTATTGTCTTCCTGAAATTCACTGAAATCTGTTGACTCCTCTCTCCCTGGACACATCAGCACCCTAGGTGCCTGAGCTATTTATTGCTGTGGTGTCCAAACTAGTGTTCATATGCAAACTCTTGGTTTCTTCCAACTCATTTGTCACATAAGAGCCCAAGAAATCTTTATAATAGGTTAGTTAGAATACTGTTCATAATCGGCTTACCATTTTTAAAAGAAGACCCTTTACCGTGTCCTGTAACAAGGCTCTGTGTGTTCTAGGATGCTCTCTACTTATCTAGCCTATCTGTGCTACTTAAACTTTCTATACTTCCGTTATATTGTTGGGGGTGGGATTGTACCTGTTGTGCTCTATTCTTGAAATGCTCTTGTATCTCACCCTCTAACTTTGCTTGTTGTTGGTGTTCAGTGCTGTTGAGTCGATTCCAACTCATAGTGAACCCAGTATAGGGTTTCCGAGGAGCCACTGGTGGGCTTGAACCACCGACCTTGCGGTTAGAAGTCCAGTGCCTATCCTAGAATGCCACACCAGGACTCCTAATTAATTCTAATTAATCTTGCAGAAGTCAGTTCAAATTTTTCTTCTCATGGTGTTTCCTAGCATTAAGTTCACAGACCCTTTTCTATGTGGTTTTCTTTTAAAATATGAACTTGAAGCTCTCTACTGATTGTATTTGTTGGCATCAGACCTATGTGGACTAAAAATAAACTGTGGAGTGTAAGAATTGAACATAAACTATTCAGCCAGCATGTATGTGTTGACATTTTCATGTTCGGTACTAGGCTAAGTTTTATCAGGGATGGAGAAGTTCTCACCTGCTCTGGTTTTAGAAATGCCTTATTTGTGAAGACTTTCAACTGTTTTTGTTGCCTTGTATATATTTGTTTTTAAGATAGAGAAACAGAAAGAAGGGAAGGATAGGCTGTTATACTGAGGTTGAAAAATTCTAAGCCAAGGGAAGAGTGGGCGTACCGTGTGGGCTGTGATTTCCACTTTTAAGGAGCTTTTGTTCTATGCAGGGATCAAGGCTAACTTACAATTTGTCTAACTTAAAGTGCATCTATTAGGTGGAAAGACTACTGCCCAGTTGGCCAGAGAATGCCTGGGACTCGTTTCATTGCTTTCAAAGTTCCTTTGAGAAAGGTAAGCACAAGTTAATTTGATATTCTTTAAGCAATTGAGTTCACTGTATGGAACCTTAGGTCTATTCTCCCACACTTTGTTTTCCTTTTAGCAAGTACTCTGAGATGCCCGCTTTACTATCCCAAAATGTAATGCACTGGTAAGACTACTTCCATGCATAATTTTAAAAGAAAAATCAATGTAATGCCTTAAATATATAATTACTTATTGTTGTTGTTAAGTGCTGTTAAGTTGGTTCTGATCCATAGTGACCCTTTTTAGGATTCCCAAGGATTTGTGAGCTAGAACTGCCAAAATTGAGGTTCAAACTGACTTTGCAGTCCAACGCATTAACCCACAGTGCCACACCAGGACTTCATAAGTATATATAAAATATTCCATAAGTATATATAAAATAGATAAAAGTTTTATATATAAAAATATGTAGAGAATAAATTAAGGTAATTTATAATTCAGTATATAAATTTGTGGACATAAAGAAATAGTTCCTTGTTTGCACCATGAATACAAGAGCTATAAATCCAGACCCTATAAGTTGATTTTCATAATAGTGAATGTCATTACCATAATGATTCGAAAAAGCTTTTGATAAATTTTCAAATAAAAAGTCTTTACGTGATTGACAGGTTCATTAAAACTGTAAAAAAAATATAATTTGTATTGTTAAATGGGGTTAGATTCTAAGGCTTCGATAAGTATAAACCTATTTTTCACCAATATGAATGATGGACTAGACATTTTCAGAATGTGGAACATATTTCATTTTCTAGGACTGGTCTGAATTTGGCAGGACATCTAGCATCCATAGGTCCATTACTAAATGCCAGTAACATCCTTTCCTTCCCATTGTCACAGCCAAAAAAAAACAAAACAAAAATGATGCCTGGTTAGCAAAACCAGGATTTCAGTGAACTAACTCTGAAGATTGTGATTTTGTTTGAATTAGGAAAGGTTGTGGGGAAAGCATTAGCACCTATAACAGATGAGATTAAGATGAATCTTCTAGATTCCATGTCTCATTAAACTTGCCCAGCATAACATGGATTTGTATCAGGAAAAGCCCACTTTGAATGTATTGGGCATGGTATCTTTTTCAACTATCTTAATCAGAAGTCCTGGTGTGCTGCTAAAGGATAAATAGTCGAGTGCAAGTTCAGTTTGAACTGCCAGGTTGGCTGTTCAAACTCACCTACCGCTCCTCAGAAACCCTCTGCAGGGTGACTTGTGAGTCGGAACTGACTCGATGGCACTTAACAACAGCATTAACTCGTGGGTGTCTCTATACTTAAAAATGAGTCATTTCACTTAATGAACTTACAGTTCTCATTCACATTCACACCCATCAACATGAAGCATAGTGTTTGACATATCATTAATACTTAACAAGTCTTTGTTAAGTAAATCAATTGTCTACCTTCCCTAACTCTTCAGGTCCCTACTCTCTGGCCTTCATAGTGGGTTCTTGTACTTTCAGAAGGGCCCCGCTCAGCCCCTTGCCTGAACGTATGTGAATGAGAGGAGAGAAACCAGGAACACTCTTCAGTCTCTTTTCCACCACAAATCTTTTCTCTGTCGTAAGTGCTGTCAGTTCTAACTCATAGGGACTTTATATAGTGTTTCCAAGGAGTGACTGGTGGGTTTGAACCACAAACCTGTCAGTTAGCAGTCCAGTGCTTATCCTACAACACCATCCCAGGACCCCAACTTTCCTGTATGGTGTCATTATTAAAGTCCTCTTCTAATTTCATATTCTTAAAGTTACTTTATCTAGTGTCTTTAAGGTACCTGTTATGATTGAATTGTGTCCTTACAAAATGTGTGCTGGAATCCTAATCTTTGAATGTCATCCCATTTGGAACTCTGGTTTTCTTTGTTATGTTCATGAGGTCATTACCACTGCAGGGTGTGCCCTAAATCTAATCATTCTTGAATTATAAAAAGAACAGATTAGACTCCTAAGAAAGCCAGTGTGGAGGAAGACAGATTGTCTAATGACAAAAACAGCAGAGAGATTTACAAGCCCAGTAACTCCAAGGAACGGGGGCTCCTAAAGACTGAAATAGACAAAGAAATGACCTCCCTAGAACCACTCACTGAATTCACACTTTTTAGTCTCCTGACCTGTGAGAAAATAAATTTACTTTTTTTTTTTTTT